CCTGTATTTTTGTTTTATTATGATGATTTTTTTTTTTTTTTTTTCAAAATAAACCGTTTTCTTAAACTGAGATATCGCTTTTGTATTCTGGGGGGGGGAATTTAAACTTACAGCCTTTAATACCACTAAAATATAAAGCAATGGATCTTTGATAATACGGACGGTCTGTTCTATATCTGTACTTAATATTCATGCAAAATTTGGAGGCATTTTTAGCGTAATATTTCTCATAAAGACCGAATTACAGACGCTATTTGGAGAGAAAGTTGAAATGATATTTAAAGGAAAGTTCTTTTAAATTTAAAAGTATCAGTGATATGTAAAACGCCGCCCAGACGGCACCGAAGGGTCCGGGTTCGACCAAAGCCCCCTGAAGATATTCAGGCGGCTTTGGTTCCACTCTCGGATTGTTCGGCCTTGCGTAGGAGGTAACGGTGTCTCACCTGTTAGGTACTTCCACAATAAAGTGGGTAGAACTTCCGGCCTTTGTAAAGGCTAAGGTGGCTATGTGCTCGCCAGTGTGGGGGAAAGAGATTTGCAAAACTCACAACCCATGCAATTTAAAATAATTTCTCTTCCCCTTAAATTCTCGATAGCTGTAAGATTTTTCTTCTTCTATGCAATAAGGATTGCACGGTGTTTGAAAATTATGGGAATTCATAAACCTGCATTTTGAAAAGTACTGGACGTCAATGCTCAGTTTGGTTTTCATTTCCATCATAATGACTGTATCACGTGAGTTTAATCTCGCAGTTTAAAGGCAGTTGAGGCCACTTACCATTTCCTTAGATTACGCCATTAAAATTTTCGTTTGTATGTATTGTTAACCTACGTAAGATTTTCCTGTATATTCTGTTAAATATTAATGTGCACAGGAACAAATTTAGGTGCTCGTATTTGATGGTATTGCAATATAAATAGACATTTAAACTTATTTTTGGTTAGAATTGTTTTTTCAGTTGAGAAACGTTAACCATTAAGTTAAATCAAAATAACTAGAGTTCGTATTCTAATCCGAATAAAAACGAAATCGAAACAGATTTAGCAAAATGTTAGATTGTATTAAATAAAAGAACAACGTTAGGTAAGCGATATTTTAACCCAAATCGTCTTTTTAAGGTGTACTTGATACTTAAGTGCATTATAAATTGAATCTGTAATTTATCGGTTATTAAGTTTCAAATTTTTACTAAAGCATATAAAGCTGGCTTATGGTTTCCTCCTCTTCTGTGTTAATTCTTTCTCCCATTGCTGGATTTTGTTTCCTTATGCGTTCTTAACTAGCACTTTTTTAGAGGTGCTTACCCTAGAACATAACAGTTATGAGTACACTATAGTGAAGTCTAGCTGTAGTTTTCAGTTTAAATATTTTGAACTGGATAGTTTTCAGATATTGAATTTTTTCATAAGATTTATATATTTATTTTTTATTTAATTCGCATGATAGGGTCAAACCTTGATCGTATGTTACTATTTGAATTGATTGAAAAGTATGTATTAAGGGAAAGTAAATAAATAAACTGATCTTTATGATTTTTCTCATTAAATTTGAAATTTATTCCAGGAAAGGAAATATTTTATGTAATTATAAAATACATTAGCGTAGCTTTAAACAGCGTTCGATTCGACGATTTTGGCTACATTAATTATTTTTACCCGAAGCTTCAAAAAATGGGAATGCTATCAGACTGTGAGTTTAAACCGTAGAAATGAAAATACCTTCAGTTCATCGAACTGCGAATCTTTCTTCTCTATAATTTGCATTAAATTTGAAGATTTATCAGTAGCAGCAAGAGATGTTTGCTTTTTACCATAAGCATTAAATTAGTTCTGCTTTTTCTTTTGATGTCCGTATTGTTAGCGTTTTTGGACATAATTTCTGTATAGAACTGAATAAAATATTAAAATCTCAATAGTGCAATTGAGTCAGTTTTTGGTTGTTGGATTCTCAGTGTAAACAAGAGAAAAAAATCAAAAATCCTTCATTTAAATTTCTATTTTTGCTGTGGTAAGCTTAATCCTAAAATGGTGTGATTTGTCACATTCCATGTAAATAAATCAAGAACTAGGATAATCTGGACACACAACGCCAACGCTGCTGTCAGGCCGTAGAATAAATTCCTTCAACTCCGCATATAACTAACGTAAACATTTCGAGAAACTTTTGCTTCGAGAAGTTTGGGTATTTTGTGAATAGCATTTCTGTGCTTGCTAGTTATGCTTCATCATATAATGAGACACGGGCAGTAAAAGCTTTGAAAGGAGATAAATATCATGAAAACTGACTACTGCTTTACAGATTTGTGGGATAAAATGTGTGTAACGAGGCAGGAACTTTTGATCAAACAGCTAAATCAAGAAATATCAAGTTCAGTAGCTGCAGCTGTCGTTCCGTTAATTGAAACAACGGAATCTATGGTTAGGAAGTTTTCTGAATTTGAAAGAAACTCGAATTGATGAAAATAGTTTCAGAGTTACTGCTATTCCCGAAGATTCAAAAGAACCGGCAGCAGCAGAAGAGGTTGCAGCCTCGACCGAACTGCAAACTAGAGGAGTTAAGATCACGTGTTGCGGAGTTAGGCCCCCCCCCTGTATCTTTCTCCCTTACGGATCAATTGGCCTACGCGCAAGACGGAATCGTAAGAAGTTGCGGATAGAAACCCGCCGTCCAAACTAGTTCTCGGGGTATGCGTCTGTAGGAAAAGTAGTCTTGTTATGTTATGCACTCTCGCGGGTATGTTTTGAGTTTATGAAAATCCAAGAGGCAAAACTTTGAGAAAGAAGTTTCATTCATCCTAGATTTGCGTAGCGTACTCTGGGCAAGAAGATTGATTTTACTTGCAGCCTTATAAATTAAGATATGACCAAATAAATACGAATATATACCGTATTTTTAATACTGACTTATTTTCTTTTTCTAAAATTGAAAAATGTAAGGAGGCATGAATAAAACACGCCACAAAAGTAATCGTAAACCAAAACATATTCTTAAAATTTCATAAATATCGTTTGCGACTTTTTTTATTTTTGCATTTTGCTGATGTTTAAAAATTTGCTTGGCTTTATACTTTGCTTGCTTACTTCGTTATATTTTATTTAATACTTAAAAGTGGGTTGTAGTGGTAAGGAAAATTGATAATTTTTTCATCATAAGTGTGGAATATCGATCCAGAATTTTCGTAAATTGGTAAATTTATCCCATTCGGTAGTACACTATTTGATAAAAAGCTTTAGAGAAAAAAATTGGATTGAAAATAAAGCAAGAAGAGTTTGTCCGACAAGTTAACTCAATGTGATCAGATATTTATAGTTAGAAAATTTGAGAAAAATCCTCGTTTGAGTGCTGTAAAGATTTATACAGAATTTACTAAAAAAATTTGCCATTTAAATCTCACCGTACTCCGATCAACTGGATTGCATGGGGGCTCTGCTTGAAGAAAAATTTTTGCAAGTCCAAAAAACTAGAAAACTAATTCATTTCTTTGCAAATCAATGGTAAATGAGCTGAAGCATGAAAATGAGCATGTTTTATTTGCAGATGAAAGCAAATTTAACATTTGGAGTTTCGATGGGCATATAATTGTATGGAGAAGAGAAAAAATGAGGAGCTTAATCCCAAGAACTGGGTTTGAACAATATAGCATGGCAGTGGAGATGTCCTTGTGGAGGGGGGGGGGTGCAGGTCAGCCATCAGGATTAGGTAATTTAGTATTTATTGATGGCATAATAAACCATGTTCTTTGTTTAATGTAAAATTTTTTAGCTATGGAAAGTATTTTCTTTGCAATAAAAAAGTTATGATTACATTTCTGGGTACATCTTTCATTCTGTCTGCTATATAGCCAACTCTCTGATTTCCAATAACTACCTGTGTTAGCCATCTTCTTAGCAGCATACCTTCATGTACATACCATAGTATCAACATAATAAGCAGCTACATTACTCAAATATGATTCAAAAAGTTTATTGTATTGCTTTACTACAGTCAAGTTTCTTTTCTAAGCATTTTTTATCGAATGGTTTCCGAGAAATTTGTGTTAATTAATTTTAAGAAACTTGTGTAATCTGAGAATTTAGTGTTCTCGAATTAATCCAAGAAATTTGTGTAGTGTATAATCTGGCTAAATTAAGAGAAAAGTTAGTGATGTCAGTTTATTCTGAAGCGTGCTGTTATTTTACAGTATTGTATGTACTGTTTTCTAATATCAAAATTTTATTATTGCATCCCGAAGTAATTTTATATTTTACAGTCCATGTTCACTATAACATTCACAAGCGATGTAGCCTCTTTGCTAAGCTGCTGACAGCTAGAGGTTCATGCTGTCATGGCACTCTGCATGTAGATGTTTTTACATTCTTATCTCTCAGATGAGAAGTTTCTAAGAAGTATTTTGTTGCTCTCAGATAAACCTCACTTGCACATATATTGCTACTGTGATATTATGTTCATATCCTTCTGTTCAAGAAGGTTAATGTCTTCTTAAATATTGATTTTAGATGTGCACCTATGTCTTAGGCATGCTGCTTTTATTTAACATCATAAATGATTACATGTATTTATAGTGCCATTATATAGTAAGTAATATTTTTTGGCTGCCCTAGGTTTAAATTTATCTAAAAGATAGGTTCTGAAAGTCAGACTGTAAGATTCTAAGATTTATGCTTGGAATTTGAATACCACTTGTTGAAAATAACTAAGCTTTAAGTTTTCATTTTCAGTATGGCAGACAGCTTTTCTTTTCTCATAAAAAATATTATTTTGATATTTTTCTAGTATTTAATTTTAATCAGAAGGGCTGAATTTTTTAAGAGGTTTCAGTAAATGTATAGCATTTGTATGTTTAACAATGTTTAGTAAATATATTTACTATAATATATATTTCACTATAAACATATAAGTTTTTATAACTCAATTTTAAGTCATGAATTTGCATAATGAGTGTTTATTTTCAAAATGCTTTCGAGTGTTATATATTCATTAAGTGTTTATTTAAATATAGATATCTTGGCCATTATGAAAAAATCCATTTCATGGGAGAAGAGCCTGACCATGATAAAAATCAATCATCAGAATCTCATAATCGAAAATTACAGCTTACTCTTTTTCATCAAGTACCTATGGTTTACAATGCCTTGCAACATGAAGTCTCAGGTAAATATCAGCGTTTAAAGTATAGTTGGTAAGATGAATTTTGTTTTAGGAGAGGGTCTTGCGATTGTTGATTTAAAATTTTTTACTGCTGTTCGTACTTCACATTACGAATAGGTTCAGGTTATAATTTTTATTTTGAAGTACATTGTTTGAAGTAAGTTAACATTTTGTACATGCATAATACTTAGTTGCAGTAATGTGTAAAATTATGTTACTTTAATTAACTTGTATTGCAAAATTATATTTTTTTGTGATGTAAAATTTAAAATTAAATGGAACCTGTCATAACTGTCCAAAATTTATTTGTGTAAACTTAGTATTTTGCAGTTTTAGACCCATAAAGCCCCAATTTTTTTATAATACAATATCCCTGCATACCTGGAATATTGAAAAATGGTCCTTCCAGGATATATTACAGTTACCTGAAATCAGATAATATCCAATGTTATATGTAACTGAATAGTTCAGCAACATGTATAAGCAAAGTAAATTTTAGTTGATTAATTATGTGCAAAAAGGCATTTCTAGCATTAAATGAAATAAAAGTACTTTACGCTGCATTTTATTTTTGAAGTATGCATTTCTCTATAGTATGTGGAAAGTAAATGATTCTTACACTTTTAATCTACTTGTCAAGAGACTCTAGAGCAGAGAAAAAATACTACACCTATATATAATACTGTAGCAAGGGCATATTTGGATATGCCACTGTTGAAGCAGTCTTTTCCGTGAGAGGCAAAGAAAGACAGAAAAACTGTAAACCTAATAGAAATTTCAAAATAAAAATTGGAAAAAAAAAGTGAATTGAATGCATTAAAAAATTGAGTCACTGTGAAGTATTCTTTCAAAATTCTGTAGCAAGATTTTTTTTTTTTTTAAGGTCTTTAGCCAGCTGTTCTTGTCTCGATAGTAAACTTCTTACAGAGTGGTGGCTTAAAGTGAATATTCTATATGAAGGGAAAAAGAAGAAAGGATTCTAGAAAAGAATATTCCAAAATAACTGCTTTTGATGTTATTCTATCATATGACAAGATTTTATTTCCAATGTTTTTGCATTATTTAAAAAATTTTATCTAATTTTTTTACTGATGTTGTAATGTTGTAATTAGTGAGTTAATATTGGTGTTAGATAGTTAAAGTTATATTCAAAGTCGTTTTAAATGTTAATTGTATTTAAAACACTCGATCGCTAAACGGATCTGCTTTATTATCCATACATTCAAGCATTTGTTTAAATCTTGATGTGTGTGATTATGGCAAAGCCTCGAGGGCTATCTGCCTAAGAGGAGGGATTCCTTCATGGAGGACTTTCTAAGGGAAACTGGCTCGTATACATGTTACACATGGGGAAAACCACGAAAATGTCCATGCAGCCAGCCCGTTCGCGGGATTCGAACCTCGGACCGAACTACCAGTGTTCAGCGACTTTACCGCTCGGCCGCTGGTGGGCCTGTTTAAATCTTGGAAAAGATTTATTGTGCATGGAGCAAACAATTTTTGTTGAACGGCTAATAGGCATTAACTAAATAATTGGTTTGGAAAAAAAATGCAAAATTTTTTATTTTAACGTATCGATCAGGTTTTAACGAAAGTTTCCTGCAACCACAAATATTGTCTGCACAAATAATTTGCATTGATGTGTTTAATCATATTTTGTCAAAAACTTTTTGGCATTTGAAAGAAAGAGACTTGCTTTAGAACACTGTTGTGAAATTTGTAAAAAAATATCATTATCATTAACGTCATTATCTTTGACATTAAAAAAGCAGAACGTTCCTGGCCGGCCTATTGATGTTGATGAGATCAATGTGCAAGAACTTGTGGAAGAAGCTCAGCATGCAACCACTCAAGAACTTGCTAAGGAGTTAGATGTTATTGCTATGCCCATTAGTTATGCTCGGCATTGCATGAGCTGACTCAAGCAGATAAGGACAGACGTGTTCAGGCCTTCACTAATCTGCTTGAATATTAATGCAAGGACAAAATTCTGGATTGGATTGTGACTTGTGATGAAAAGTGGATTTACTTCAACAGGGTTGGTCTGCACCCGGTTGCAGTTTGATTAACAAAAAGATCATGCTTTGTATCTGGTGGGATTGCCATGGTATTATTCACAAAGAGTATCTGGAAAAAGGCATCTCTTGGCAGTAAGGTCTGCAGTGAGATGCTAGTCCGTGTTGATGCTGCTGTCGAGGAAAAAACGTCCGACTGAGTAGTTCTGACGTGAAAAGGTAATGTTCCATCAAGATAATGCAAGACCACATGTGTCTGCATTCACTGACTGTGTGCAGACTCGAATAGGATTTTTTGCCACACCCACCATATAGCCCTGATATTGCTCCTTCTGGCTTCCATGAATGAGAATATCTTTTAGATAAAAACAAAATCGGTTACAAGTACTGTCACCAGAAGGCGAACTGTAAACTTTGAAAACCTGTAGTAAAAATGTAATTTTTTGTTGACGTCATGTAGCAACTGTTTTAAAATCTAGAAACATTCATGGAGACTTTGTTTTCAATGTGCGTCTTGTTCACAACGTTCATAACTTTACAAGATTGTACTTTGTTAGTAAAATTGTTTTACCAAAACAGTTGGCTTTTTTGTAATGTGTGGCCTCCCTGATCCCCAGACCTCAATCCATGCAATTTTTGGCTTTGGGGACATTTGAAACATCTGGTAAAGTCATGACAATCCAGGACTTTACCTTGATATTAAACTCAGCATTTCATGCCACGTGCTGAACATTTTCCAGTATACACTTCAGTCAACATGCCATCTTGCGATTTCAGATGGTAGCTAAAAATGATTGCTAGCATGTGGAACATGCTTTTTGTGACAAAATTTGTGAAATTTTAAAACTATTGTAAAGGTGTGGCTAAATGTATAATTTATTAAAACAATTCCCTCTGGTGATGAAATTTGTAACTTTTTTTTTCCTGAAAGATATGCTTCATTAAGCCTGTCACAAAATTTCACAATTTTCTGATCAGTGATTTCCCTTGTAGGCAGCTTTAAAATAGGGTTCTTTAATTATAGATACCCTGTATGTATATGCCATTCAAAATTGTCTGTTATCTTCTGTTTCCACTTTCCTCTCAAAACAAAATCATGTGTATGTATGCCCATGCTGTATGGCAGAGTGTATGGTTTTTATGTATGTATGAATGTTGATTGCCAAACCATGAATTCATATCATGTATGCATATTTGTATATGTGTTTAAGAGAATACTGGGTATTGTGTAGCTACCATATTTTTAACATATACTTACATTTGTATATACACATTTGTTTTGTAAATTAGTAACTGTTCCCCTCTTTTTCCCCCCCATGCGTGAGTGTGTGTGTGTGGGGGGGGGGAAGATTAGACTACTTATGAGTGAAACTGTGCATAATGAATCAGCAGGGGAAGCACAGTTGCTCTGTCTGTCAACTCATGCAGAAATCGTGAATTTTGCCTATGTGTTTTCTGCGCAAAATTTCCTTTCTCTGGCTGTCTGCTTGTAAATATTAAAGAAGTGTTTAAGAATGTGCCATCATTTATCATTGTATGATTTTTGTCCTTCTAGGCTTTCAGTTGACAGATACATGACAGTTTATAGCTTTGGTCAGATGATATATGTGTTAAGTAGTGAGAGTTTTAAGGATAATAATACTCGAAATATTTTCAGTCAGTGACATCCATAGTGTATATTTTTATTTTGTACCCAAGTTGGAACATACCTGAGAATTAAGGTACACAATCAATCTGGTTAAGATGGTTAAATTAAAAAAAAATGAACGAAATATGCACTTCTGATTCAGAAGCAGTGTATAAGAAATGCTGATCTTCCTGCATGGGTCGCTTTTCTGCATGTATCATTCATTATTTTTAGCCCCAAATATAGTTCTGTTAATATTGTTACTTATTTACTCATTCTCCCCCCCCCCCCCCCCCCCCCCGCCAACAATTGTTTTACCACGTCGGTCATTTATAAATCATGCTTCTCATGGAGAACTTCCCATGTGGATTGTTTGGATAAAATCACTTAGAGGTTTAGTATTTTTCACTAAGTCCTAGCCATGTTTAACGAAGTGTTGTACAAGATTTGTGCTTTACAACCTGCTTACTGTGTAGTGCCTTAGCAAATCGCAACACTTTATTAAATATAATTGTATATTGATACTAGTGACCAGGCACAGAAATGAAAACAACCACAGTCTAAGGCTCATATAGGATATATTGAACTGGCATACAAGAATGTTATATTATTATTATTAGAGAAAAATAGAAAAAAAAATAAGTAGGACTGATGAGCTTGTTGATCTTCACAAAGTTTTTCAGTGAAAGGGATAAGACTTGGCCAATGCATTGCTAGGTACTGAAGCTTGTTGAGTGAACATGTTTTTTTGTTTTTGTAAATTATGCAACTTCCTACTAAAAAATTTGTGCGATTTTTCAACTGTGGTAGAGTGAATGGTCTTCAGATGTCGTTTTAGCTTACTTGGAGCATACTCTCGGGCAATAGAATTTTCAAACAGAGCACGCATTTTGGTCTTTCTTTATTATTTATGTCTACTGAAATAAAGCCAAAGTCCAAATAGATACTGCCGTATTTGCGATATTTCTACCTTTTTGCTCCTAGCCACTTGTCGAGGCTTGATAACTCTGACTTGAACTATCGACTTGCTTATTTAATAAAAATCTTTCCATTTTTTGACTAACTTTTTATGAAAATACAAAACAGCACAATTAAAACGAAGCAACCAAACTGCTTGCATACATATGTTTAAATAGATATAATGTATATCTGTCCTGGGTTCTTAAATCACAACTCTCTGTGTCACTGCCAAGAACATTTTATTTTGTTAAATCACAACTTCTGCTTAACTTAGCAATTTAACTGCTTATTGTTACAATAAACTAACTTGGCAATGTGGCCAGCACCAGCTTAAATGCTACCATCAATGAGCACTCGTGACAACTCCTGTCGATGCAATGTGATGGTTGAGTGCTTCCTGA